ACAAAGGCCTCAAGTTCAAGGCTCAAGCTTCCAACAACCGTACTAAGCACAAGGTGGCCTAGGGTTTTAACAACAACCCAACAAGCTATCTAAGCTTGAAGACCTAGTGAACACTTTTGTGAGTACGAGTAGCCAAAAGTTCAAGAAGATAGAGCAATTTATGGATGTGGCGACTACCAAGTTTACCTCGGTTGAGACGGGTCTCTGAAGCCATCGAGCGAGCCTCCAAAGCTTGGAGGTGCAAATCAGCAACCTTGTCAGCATCCTCACCGAGAGACTCAATGGAGCTTTACCTTCCCAAACCGTGATGAACCCCAAGGACCATGCCGGGGTAAATGCACTTCAAGTGAGGAGTGTGAAGGTGGTTTCGGAAGTCGCCACTAATGAAGCGATGGAGAAGGAAGATACCATCAAGGAAGAGACCAACCCAAAGAAGGGATAAGGGAAGCCCTCGAGGAATGAGAGGAAGGCGGCAAGGAAGACATTGCCAGAGGATGGATACACACCACCTCTTCCTTATCCCACAAGGATGTACAAGGAGAGGTTGGAGAACGAGTGTGGAGGTTTCATGGAAATGCTATGCAACCTCCACCTCAACATCCCTTTCCTTGAATCCATGGCTCAAATGCCAAGATATGCTAAGTACCTCAAAGGATTCCTCACCAAGAAGCCAAAGCTTGAAGGCCTCGCCAACGTGACTCTTGGCGAGGAGTGTTCGACTTACCTCCTCTATCGCTTGCCCAAAAAGTGGTCCGACCCAGGTAGCTTTACTATCCCTCTTGATATTGGTAACCATCATATAGACAATGCCTTGGCAGACCTAGGAGTTAGTTTTAATGTGATGCCCTACAAGCTTTTCAAAAAGTTAGAAGTAGGTGTAACACCTTGGTATTTTAGATTTGGGTTCGACCATATTTAATGAGCGGTTAGTTTAACAATTACGTACTAAGACTTACAACTACGGATTAAGAATAACAATAAAAACTATTATTAATATATTATAATAATATATAAAAAATAATAATATAGTGGGACGGCCAAGAGGCCGACCCCCAAACCCTTTCCCCCATCAAAATCTCCCCCAACAGGAAAAAATAAAACCCCCCGGCCCTCTATGTGGCTTTTCCCCATAATTTAACCCGCCCCGTCTTTTTTGTTTATTCCCCACCGCCGCAAACCCTCCCCTCCCTCGTAATTCAAAGCGGCTCCTGACACCGATCTCGATCTCATTCCTTTCGTGTTTCTAGCGGTGACGTTTGAGGGTTTGATCAACGAGGAGATCAACGCCTCGGGTCATCCAACCGAGGCCTAGGCACGTTCTAGAGGTTTCCCCAAGATAATCCAGCTAAGGAGGGGTTTCGTCGAAGAAGGAATCGAGGAGTCATCTTTTCGAGGTGAGTGTAAAGGGGGTAAAATCTCTGTTGTAGGTCTTTTAGTTTATGCTTTTCGTTCAAGCTATTCATTAGTTAATTTTTGAGTAATGCGCGATGTGTGTGTGAGGCATCCCACCGCCTATAATGGTGGAGGCACGCGTTGTGCTATGTATGAATGTATGATTGTAATAGTTGGTTAGTGGTAAGATGAACCCCCGGGCGGTTGGGTCACTACTGGACGGCGAGACGTAACGCAGTAGTTGACGGGCATGGACTGCACGACGAGACGTAACGCAGTGCCATTGCCGAGTTTGGGTATGCAACCAGACAACGAGACGTAACGCGGTTGGCATACTAGGGTAGGGACACCGGACGGCGAGACGTAACATGGTGGTCCCTTGTGTTGGTGTCTATGGATTAAGAGTATAAGTAAGGAAATTCTAAAGATAAGAGAGGAGTAGAAATCTCTTCTAGACTGTTTGATAACAAAGTATAAAGGATGAAAGCGAGAACGACTTTTGTCTAAGTCAGGAACCCTAATAACGTGTTTAGTAGGGAGTTTTCCTAGGGCAAAGACCTTAGGAAGTAACGACGAGACTGACCCCTTCTCACTCACCAGGCGCAGAGAGGGGAAGAGGACGCATCCATCAAGAGGAGGTTACCCGAGGAGAATAGCCGCGGCAAACCTAAAGATGTCAAATAGATCTGGGTAACGAGATGGGACCTCCCATTATATCTATCTTTAGTTTCATATGTCTTAATGAGTATACTGGGAAACTCAAGTATTGTGTTTTATGTTTTATTGCTATGGATTGACGTCGCCCAAATGTTTAGGGCATTTCACTTGAGAATCTTAAACATTGTTGTTGTTGATTTTTGGTTTTGATTTGTAAACCTGTTTTGGGTTGCTCCGGAGTAACCGTTGGTGGTTTGAGTTATGGTTTGGTTTTCAAAAAAAAAAATCGAGTTATTTCAGTAGGTGAACTTAAAACCTTTAAGCTTAGAATCACCTTAGCCGACCATTCCGTCATTAGCTCGAGAGGTATAGTGGAGGACATGATGGTGAGAGTGGGCAAGTTTTGCTATTCGACCGATTTCGTGATTCTCGACATAAGTGAGGACTTGGACATGCCACTCATCCTCGGTCGTCCCTTTCTTGCCACCGCCAAGGCATTAATAGACGTTAATTAGGGGACCTTAATTTTGAGGGATGGTAAGTAGAGAATCAAGCTTGAAATTGACCATAAGGTTATGAGATATGAAGTGAAGGAAGTAGTTTCAAATGATGTGAATGAGAGTGGAGGAGAGCCTGTCAAGGAAAACCCCACCATTACTTGTGTTGCTTTTGGTGATGTTGAGCAAGAAGTTAAGAAGGGTCCTATGACCAAAGGATCGAGGATGAATGCTTGGAGACGAAGGATGAAGGGAGCTTTGGCCCGGAAGATGGAGGAGGCCGAAGCAATGTTGGCCAACCAAGAGGGCCAACTCAAGGAACCTAAGATGGGAGGCTACAAGCCTCGTCCTGAGAGTGTGGTGGATCCGCTCTCGGTGGCATCACATTTGAAGTCATGATCGATCCCCAACTGTCATGCTAATCACGATAAATTAGCGTTTATTGGGAGGCAACCCAACGGAGGTTTGTTTTCTTTTCCTTAGTTTTCATTTTAGTGTCTCGTGAAGAGTTCGAGTGGTGATGTGGTGTCCCCGTGCCGAGTGTTGTGTTTTTCGATTTATGGTTGTGTTATGATCGATTAGGAGGCACGGAGGAATAGGTTGAGTCAAAATTTTATCAGAAGTACCCTTTTTCACTAATGGTCACGGACGAATTGCTGAGTTCACGGTCTTATAAAACCATGAACATGCAAACGCGTCCGTGAACTGGGTACTTATGCATGATTACCACTTGTCGACCAACCGCAGTTCACGGACGCGCTTGAGTGTTCACGGTCTCTAAGACCGTGAACTGGGTAACGCGTTAGTGAACTTAGTGTCGTGCCTATAAAAGGGGCGTGAACAGCGACTCTTCACTTCACGACCAAATCTAGCCGAAAAAATTCAAATCTTCGCCGGAAAATGCGAAACTCCATCGTTTTTTCGATTTTTTCTCCATCTATGGCGAGCAAAACCCAAAACCAACGTCATACACAGTCTTCCCTCCTCAAAACTGGCCTGTGCTAAGATTTTGGGGAGATTTGGAGCACATTTTTTCCGGCAAAGTCACCGTCTGCGAGTCTCCGACGAGCTTCCGACGAAGCTCCGACGACCCCTCTACGCTCAGTTTTCCCACCATTTTTCACCGTCCTCGCCCGCATCTCACTTCCTCCTACGTCCTACCTGTGTCTCCAAGTTTGTTTTTCGACTTTACCTTTGTGATTTGTGAAAAATTGGATTAGGTAGTGAAATGATGTTGAATTTTTGTGCTTTGCATGATTAAATCTAGATTTAGGGTGAGGAATTAGGTGAATTCGGTCGATTGAATGATGGATTGATTTTTGCATGAGCTTAGTGAACCTTGGTGGGCGTGTTTGAACCGAATTGTGTTTATTTTTAAAATTTGCACACCAAGTGCTATGTTATGAATGCAAGTGGAGTTTATTCTTGTTTGGTGGATGGTAGTCGTCCCTCCGGGGGTCGAGGTCGCGTTCGCTTTTTAGAGTCGTCATCGATCTTACTTGGAGTGGATCGAACACTCATCGATCGGCTCTAACCTTAGGTCAGAACTGGGGCTTGGTCTGCGATTTTGAGATATGAGTTCGGGAGTACGATTACGTGTGGGGAAGTTAAGCAACACCCCCACAACGCCCCAAATTGGTACTACTTAAGTCGATAAGTTTTTATGCGAGTTGGGTGTATTTTAGTAATAATTTTGTAATTTTAGGGTCCCACTGGACCATTACTATATTGCTATTTCGTTAAGTATAATTTAGCTAAACGTCCATTGACGAATTAGTTTATTATTAGGTATTTTTAAAGCCTTACTAGACCACTAATGTATTTAAATCGTATTAGTTGTAAATTAATTATACGCCCACTGACGTAAAAATTAGAAGATAAAGTTAATTGGTTAGTTGGACTCGAACCTTATCGGTTGGCTACGTACCTGTAATATGGGTTCAAAGTCCACGTAGTTCGTTATAACTTTAATGATTTAATTGTATGACTTTTGTCACGTTACACCTATAATGGTTCTCATATTAAAGGTTTTGTTAACTTTGATAGTTTTAATCCTAACTTTTTATCACGTTCCACTGAACGTTATTCTCGCATTATAATGTTTTTAATAAATTTCTATTAGATTATTATGATGTTACTAAAATGAATGCAAGAATTTTAATTATCAAGAAGAAACTTGACGTATCAGAAAAGAAGCAAAACTAACTGAATCCACATTCAACAGCTATGTTGCGGGTCACTGAATGCACTAGTTCCCGAGAACTAGGGTTCGAAACCCGGTCACTACCATTTTTTATCGTCGTTTGTTTTATTTCAGGGAAACGGGAGGGGCAGTTTTCTAACTTCTCAAAAACGTGGTGGCACGACCGCGTAATTGCTATGTAACCTTAGGGGCATTTTTGCCATTTAAAAAGACATAATATATAATCATCTCTTGGACTTAATCACACCCTAATCCCCCGTCTAACCCTAAGCAGCGGCCGCTGCTAGCACTCTCTCTATCGCCTCTCTCTCTCCTTACTCCCTCTCAATTCTCTTCTTCCAGAAATCACAGACGAAAGAAAAAAGAAAAAAAATGGGAAGGAGAGGAAGAAATCGACCTCTCCCTCTCCCTCTCTCCCTCTCTCTCTCTCTCTCGTTTGTTTCTCTTCTTTCCCACTACTTACCGAGAAGAACAAAATCACCACCGATTCTCCCTTCTCCTCTGGCCACTGGCCGATGGCCGATTCTCCCTTCACCTCTCTCGGTTCACTCTTCCAAAAAACCACCCGAACAAAACCCTTCCCCTCTCTTAGGAAGCCGCTGCCGCCGCTCTTCTCCCTCGTCGTCGGTCAACGAACCCGACCGCGGCGAGCCCAAATCGGCGAATTCCTCTCAAGATGAAGGTAAAATCGACATGCATGGTTCCATTTCTATTTTCCAGATTTTTGTATGGAATTCTACTTTTTTTTGTTTGCTGTGTTTGATTTGAGGAATACTGGGTTTTGCTTTGGTTTAGGAAAGAAGGAAAGGGGCGGCGGGATCTCTGCCGGCAAAGGTACGGCGACAATGCTTTGGCGACAGCGGTAACCTTACAACTAAGGTAAGTGACGATTGAGAGCTTGCATGTTTTTCCTATGTGTGATTTTGCTCTTATTTATTTATGTTACGATTCTGATTTAGGGTTTCATTTTGGTTTCTGGGTTTTAGTTTTCGGTAGAGAGGAAGAGCAAACGACAGAAGATGGATATGATCTACGGCGGAAGCAGGTGGGATTTGTTTCGTCAATGTTTAATTTTTTTGTTGGATTATTTATCTTTTCAATCGATTGAGACCTCTACTTTTGTTCTGACGCAGTTTTGGAAATGGACAGACCTGGGTAAGGTTCCTAAACCCAACTAAGTATGGTTTGGGAGATCGAACCAAGTAAAAGAAAAGAAATATGATTCATGGATTTGAAAATAGCTTGCAGATCTGGGTTTTGAATAAAATTGTTTATGTATGAGTTTGAATGTTTTTTCTTAAATGATGGATTCTTATGAACTTGGCTTAGTATTATTAGGGAGGTTGAACTAATTAAAAGATGATATTATTGTAGGTTTTTAGTTTGTTTATAGATCTGAGTTGATGGAAAAATGGTTTTGCTGACTTTGACATGTTAATATGCGATTTTCATTATCTGCGGATCTGGGTTTTTAAAATGAAGATTGTTTTAATGAACTTGTAATGATTTACGGATATGAGTTATGGTATAAAAGGTTTCATAAAAAAAGCTTAGTTTTGTGTTCAAATAAGCTAGCTCACTAATTATCACAACCACTCCTTGTGATTTATTTGGATGGGAATTGTTGATTGATTGATAAATTGGTAAGGGTTGGTGAATCAGAAATTCGAGTCTGGTGTGGTGAATTTTGTTGGATCTGGATCTACAAAGGATTTCTCTACAATATTTTACCCTATTTCTGTTATACTTTTCCTATTTGGGATGGTTATGTTTGGATTCGATTTTGGGGTTTGTATTTCTGAAACCTTGTTTTGGTAAGCCCACTATATATAGATCTATAGTTGAACTTCGGTGGAATTCTTAATAGTTGAAAGCAAGTAAACTACAAAGAAACCTATTAACTAATGGATTGAGTACGAGTAAATGAAAAGTTAACTAAATACTGCTATGTTGTGTATAATCAGCATGTCGTCAATATAATACTATGCGCTTAAAAGAGAAAGTAACTTAAACGAAAATGAGTTTCATAATGATATTTACAGGTGCTCAAATATAGAAAGTATATAGACAATATAACACAAAGTGAAATTTCATTGAGTAAATAGTAGAGTTACAAGGCCAACCTAGTAGGGTTCTCGCCTAAGAATCCCTCTTTTTGCTTCTATCTTATAGACCTTCGGACTGAAAGTGAAAAGGTGTGAAACACCCTAACCCGGCCGGGTACTACTTTTACTAAAATGCTCTTGAAAAATAAAATACTCACATCTTAAATAGCAGCGAGAAAAATGTACATAAATAAAATACTCAAAACACACACTTGTAGTTTAAAGCAACGCCCTAACACATGGGCAAACTCAATACTTAAAATCTCAAAATGATCTCCAGTCTATACTCATAATCATAAATGTAAATAACTAATAATATATAATGTTGTTGCTACTGAAAATCGTAACTAACCATCCTCTGTGACGCTTATACTGCCCTCCTCTAGCTGGCTGCCCTCGAACTCGCTGCTCACTAACTGCTCCTCTAGCTCCTCCTCTAGCTCTTCAAACTGGTGAGTGAGATGGGATCAGTCTACGCTCTTACGTTTAACATCTTATTAATGCTTGATCACTTTACTTAACTTAGTAGAAGTTGTTTCGTACTTGCACTATTAAAAATCTTAACTCTTAAACTGTATTCTTAAAGCTCAAATTTCAACTTAAATTCTTGACTGACACTGGGATCCCTCTCTAGCTAGTCCGGTTGCCAACTCATACGTATGAGAAGCCATCCAGGCTTTCCTTAAACTTATCGTGGAAGGCTCTTCATCCACGATTCTCAAGAGCATAATTGCTGCTTATCTTAAAAATCCCAAGAGCATAACTGCTGCTCAACTTAAATATCTCAAGAGCATAAGTGTTGCTCTGTCTCAAAGATCTCAAGAGCATAACTGCTGATCTATCTGAAAATCTCGAATGGCAACGGACTGGCGCTAGTGACTAAAAACACTTAAAACAACTTCACCTTCTTGAAGGCGAGTTACTTCTTAAAAATAACTTGTTGCTTAAACTTTAACAACAACTTATACTTATAAAATTTCAAAGCAAGTAATAATCATTCACTTCAAGTCATAATTCAAACAAGGCACATATCATCAACCATAATCATGCAATCTCAAACATGAATCAAATATTGCACATACATCACGTAAAGCAATACTCGCAAATACTCGAGGCAAATTTTTGAAAATCGTAAGGCGTAGAATTTACCCCCTTTAGACTCACCTTATGTTGAAGCTGATTGAATTGAATAAGCTATTCTCCAGGAATCGAAATTCCTCTATTCTTTGCAGGCTTGCTCGGCCATAACCCCATGTATTGTCCAAATCAAAACCATACTCCACTTTCTCTTTGTGCGAGGGAAAAGGAGGTGTTGCAGGTGGTGCTTCTTGGCCCTGAGCGGCTGGGGAAGAAAACCATGAGGGGTTATTAGTTTTTTTTTTAGGTTGGGGAATTTGATGGGGTTTGGAGAGATGGTAAATAACTAGGAAAAGGTAAATAACTATAACACTAATAAGGAAAACAAACACGAAACTAACTGAAGAATCCCTCTCAAACTGGGCTACTTGCTGTATAAGTAAGTAACTTCTTGCGCAAGTAAAATAAACAGCTCTCGTAAAAACTTCATGCTCCTCGTTTGAGGTCTTTCAAGCTCAGTCGACCACAACCAACCCCTTTAGGATCATTAACAGGACTGCACTATGATGATCAATTCCTAGCTTCACTCGATTACCTTCCAAGATGAAGTTATAAGCTTCCAAATTAGGTATGACAAACCGATCCCAACACTTAACCATTTTCAGTGTTGCTTCTTCCCATGATTTGTTTACTTCATTGGCAAACAGGTGAAATTAAGTTGAGACACCTTTGGTGCTTGCATCACCTTCTATAAATAGAGGGCTTCTCCCCTTATTTTAGACAGACTTTGGAGTTGCAAACCCTAGATAGAGGAGTTAGAGAGAGATTTTGCTACCTTAGAGAGGAATAGGAGAAGAAGAGGATAAGGAAGAGCTTGGAGAAGGATTTCTCTACATAAGGAGTCTCTCGTTCATATTTCTTCCGTTCTTTTTATGGCTTTCCTATCCCCTTTCATGGAGTAGTTCCCTAACATACTTGGGGCTTTGTCCCTCAAAAACTAACTAGGGTAAGATGTGTAATTGAATGGGTATTATGAATTTATTGTTAATTTGCGTTTACCTAGAGTTTTAAATGCCTCTTTCTGAGTTTGGGTGTACGATTATTTTTATGCCATGTTCTGACCTAGGTCAAATTGAGTAGTACTTGATTGTATGTGAATGATCACCCTTAGCTTAGTGAGTTGATCTTGAGTCCTAGTTGGTGGATGAGGTAACCATCCCCTGCCAACTAGGAGCTCATCTAGGTAATATCGTGACTCTAGTGAGTGATCATCGAATCAAGGACCTTTTGTACGGATGGTTCGAACCCATTTAGAGGATATAGGTGTTATCCCTAGTCACTGAACTCGGTTGTGGTGAGATTGGCATAAACGGTTTACTATTTAGTGATCTCTAATTCTCTATTTAGTGATCTCTGCCCCTCAATTACCATAAACGGTTTACCCGTTGATGGCATTTCATGCTTGATGTTATAGTATGGGCAGTTTACCCCAAGTATCATTCTCTCTATTCTTGTTTCTATAGTTAAACAATTCCTTAGTACCTAAACCAACCAGTTGTGGATTAGATAACAGTAGAGCTTAACAAGAGTAGGCTAGGGTATCGAAAATCCTTAGGGAATACGACTGAGCCACTATACTACAAGCATGTCAGTGGTATACTTGCCTTTGTTAGGGTTAGTAGTTAGTGAGCATTGTTTTTCCTCTAAATCTCACACCGCATTGTGCGTGTGAGTCAAGTTTGTGGCTCCATATTCAGGGATCTTTATTGATAACTAATCTAGTCTTACTTTACTGCCTTTATTTTTCGTATTTATTGTTATCTTGTTATCACACTCTTGCATCACGGTTGTTATTGACTCATTGTGTGTAGTTGTGTTGTCTCTAATCCAAGAAGGGATTATGCAATCCATTCTCTCCTTCATGACGTGCACATAGTGTTACCCCGGTCGAGCATGAGGATGCCAAGGGTGCAGAGGGAGCCTCAAGACACTAGGAGAGTGCCAGCTTCCACTAGAGGCACCATCAGGCCATGTCTAGTGATTCTAGATAGATTACACACATTTTTACCCCTTGCCTTATGACGTTTGATGTCTTTGCACCATCCTTGTAGCTATTTTATGCTAGGTTTGTACTTGTTTTGGCATGTTTCGGACCTTAGCAGGTAGAATTGGTACTGGGAACGAAATTCGGACAACAGAGGGCAAAAAGGGAGCAAAATGGACAAAAGACGACCAGACGGAGATTATCACGTGTAGCAGACCATGAAGTGGATGTCCAAACCGTGAAGACTGCACAAGTCTAAGAGAATTTTTGCATTTCGCTAGCAGTGTCAAGATCATGGTCCCTAGACTGTGATGTCAACACTCAAACTGTAAAGTACAAATCATTCAGAGCCCTTTGAGGAATTTGCGAGTGTTAGAATTATCACGGTCTCAAGACCGTGAAGAATGTTAATGAAACGACACGCTTTGTGAAAAGATCACTGTTTCAATACATACTTCACGGGCGTGAAGTGAGACCGTGATATGAGCACTCGGGAGCTATATAAAGAAGAGTGAGGTGAAAAGAAAAGGGAGAGAGAGAGAGAGAGAGAAGGGTTCTTCATACTTTACAGCGAGGTGTGGTGAAACAGGTCCGGCCTTGGCCGCTGATTCGAGCGGTGACTTTGGTTCAACGATGAGCAATGTCAATTCTGTTGTGCACACAGGTGGAGAGATCGGAGATGTAGTGGGCTAGTCTTTGACACCTAGTCCCGCCACCGCCATCTTGCCAAACCCTGTATCTTCACGATTTCCTTCTTCTACATTGTGCTCTTGTCCACCGTCCTCCAACTTCCTTTTCCTTCTGAATTTCCATGAAACGCCAACTTGAATTGGAATGATTTGTCGTTCTTTCCCATCCTTCAATCCAGCTTCCCGAGGGATCATCTCCCCTGCCCGATATGCTATTTTGTTGCTATTTGAGGCGATCGACAGGGCAACTTCTGAAGCAATGGATAGGTTTGCGACTCCGGTCATTGAGAAGAGAGGACTTTCTACGTCAACCTGAACAACCACACTGGTCAACCCTTGTTCCATCGTTTGAGAATCACTTGAAACCCTTTGGTAGGCGGAATCAATCCGTAACTGCACGTTGGCCTTAGGTGGTGTAGCGATGGTATCGTTGATGCATATGTCAACGAAGACAGGTTCTTGCAAGGAAAGCTCCGTTACAGGAACTATGGCTTGCACTGAAGGCACATTGAGAGAGGTAATATCCTCCTCTTTGTTGACAACATCAATTGTGTCTTTTTCCTCAACCTCTTTTGAATCGACAACTTCAAGTTGCGGCGGTGGTGCGGTAACTCTATCGTAAGCCTTGATGGCTCTACGGCAAGCTGCCATCGCTATATCCAAGGATGTCATCATTCAATTGATGCGTTCATCTCTTGATGATTTCTCTGAGCTCATCGTGATCGAAACACGGATTGCGGCTCTGATACCAAATGATACGTGTTGGATTTGGATAAATCCTTTTTCTTGGCGGGAGTGGACCAAGTTTCTCCTTTCTTGGCGAGAATAACCAGGGGTTCTATTTCTGGAAAATTGCCTGCCTCTATTCAATTGATTCCCCCACTTAGATGCATGAATTGGAATGAACCTATCTCTATGGAACCAACTCCACGTTTTCCTCTACTACTACTGCACTTCCTCCACTAAATCTGGAGATGCTTATTTAGATTCAACCACTAACTCTAACAACTTGCCCTACAAACTCTAACAAATTGCTGACCTATTCAACCTTAATCTCATATAACAACAAGCTTCTCTCAGCTTGGGTTGCGCTTTTGCCCGTAATTGCGCTCGCAACTATTGGGCTTGGCTGCTCGCGCCGAGTGATGGTTGGGTCGATGAATAGTCTTATCATTATACCATAAACAAGAAAAAAAGACACATATACCCTCAAATGAAAAACTTATACAACTTACATCATTCTTTGCTTGCAACCACTAAAGCATCTAAGCAAAGCTATGCAATTAAAAAGTTGCACATGCAGCAAAGCAGAGCAAATATACATGAAAGGAGGCTAAGGTTTGGTTTTAAACAGATCACACATTTGCAGTTGTCATCCTCCTGCTGCTAAATGTGGTACGTATTGATAGAAGGCCTCCTCTTCGTTCCATCAATAACACTAACAGACTGTTTGGTACCAAATGAATCAAGAATTCATTTCATTGTAAAATGAATTACCATGTAGAATTCATTGTCAAATGAAATCTTGTGTTTGGTATATTATATTCAAATCTTTGGAAATAGAATGAATTGTCGTGTAGAATTCATTGTCAAATGAATTCCTATGTTTGGTATGTCATATGTATAAGTAGTTTAGTTAATAAAAGAGGATAATTATATCATTATATTATAATTAGTAAATAATTGTAGAATTCCTCAAAATTGAATTCTATAAGTTTTGAGAAATTCATTTTGAAATGAAACATTTTTGTGTTTGGTATTTAAAAGAATTCATTTTCAATTCTAAATTTTGAATTCTATGGAATCGGTACTAGTTATAGCAATTTTGAGGAATTGAGATGAAATTTCCAAATGAATTCCACAACTATTTACTAATTATAATACAATGACATAATTATCCTCTTTATTAACTAATTTACTTATATATATGACGTACCAAATACAGGAATTCATTTGACAATGAATTCTACATGACAATTCATTTTATTTCTAAAAATTTGAATATGACATACCAAACACAAGATTTCATTTGACAATAAATTCTACACGGTAATTCATTTGGTACCAAACGGTATGTTGATGTCCACAATATCCTTCGTACCGAAACCCTTCTTTACCACACCTTTCCTCTTCAAGTTATGCTCGTCAAACACCTTTCCAATTTCTTTCTGGCCTTTCATTGAATGAATGGAATCTAGGTTTCTATAAAAAAATTCTTTGCCGCTGTTTTCATCCGCTGGCGGTACCCTTGCATATCCAACCAGGCCACCTACGAGACCGAATCACCGACCACCACCATTACCCTCGCCCCCTAACAATACGCAGAACAACCCGCAAAGAAATACACACACAACTGAAAGGCAACTCCCAGATCAAAATCCATCACTTTCAGCCTTCAATCGAAGACAAATCTATTGATTGCTGCTGCTTCTAGTGTTGGTGACGGAATCGAACTCGGAACAGACCATCAACCACTTTCAGCCTCGCCGCTGTCAACCTGCCCTGTCAAAGACCATCGACGTCATCCTCTACTCAGCCGTTGTTGCCCTCAATTCCATCTATGCCATGCGTCGAACACCACCGCCCCCAACTTTGAATCAGTCGCCTACAATATGCAGTCGGCAGACCCTCGAACGGTGAAGAAACCCAGAATGATGCAACCTTCTTCTCTGTTGTCTAGGGGTGGGCAATAGGGAAACAGGTATTTGAGTATACTCATACCTGTCCCGTTTTATGAGAATTACGGGTACCCAAATACCCGTTTTATTTATTGCAATATGGGGTTTGGGATTGTAAGTTTTAATAATGGGTACCGGCAAGTTACTTGCTAATACCCGTTTGGGTAATACGGGTACCAGTTTTACCCGTTTCCTCGCAACTGTAATGAGGGGATGTAGGTGTAAATAAGTTTTAGTTGGGGATTAATATGTAATTGGATATCTCCTAAAAGGAGTTTGTGTTGTAATGGAAAAATTAAGCAATTAATAGAATCCAATTCTAATTCCTTCTTTCGATCTCCTCTCTTCCTTCTCTTTGATATTCCTCTCTGTCTCTATTCTCTTCTTCTAATCTTCTTGTCCAATTCTCCTTTCTCTTCTCAAACCCTTGTATCTTATCTTCAATTTCCAATTGTTGATCCTCAATCGCCAAGAATTTATCCAATATCACTTCGGGACGCTACAAATTGGTATCAGAGCCTCTTTTTGGCAACCATGGCGATGACAACGCGTTGGGACGGCAGTGAAGTACGATTTGCGAAGGCAACGCGTTGGGACGGTAGTGAAGCTGATGGTGTCTATATTTTGGACCAACTGGTGATATGCGGAAGGGTGCTATCCAGGAGTCAGTTGCACTTGTTGTCCATTAGATGTTCTCTTCTCTTTTGATTGTTTTCAATAGCCAATAAGCTTAAGGACAAGCCTCTTCAAGGGGTCGGGATTGTAACAAGGGGATGTAAGTGTAAATAAGTTTTAGTTGGAGATTAATATGTAATTGGGTATCTCCTATAAAAGGAGTTGTGCTGTAATGGAAAAATTAAGCAATTAACAGAATCCAATTCCAATTCCTTATTTCAATCTCCTCTCTATCTCTGTTCTCTTCTTCTAATATTCTTGTCAAATTCTCCTTTCTCTTCTCAAACCCTTCTATCATCTCTTCAATTTCCAATTGTCGATCCTCAATCGCCAAGAATTGATCTAGCATCACTTTGGGACGCTACAACAACCTAGACTTAAGCCTACTCAATCTTATCGCCATAAATAAAGAAGCTCAAAGGTAGCATAATAATATATTTTGGAGGTGCCGATTTTGCTTTGTTTGCCATGGATCCGAAGAGAGGAAGAAGAAGGAAGGAGAGAGGATATGGCAGAAGAATCGTCAAAGAAAGAAGGAGAGAGGAGAGAGACGAGGGTGGAATGGGGCTGGCCAGCTTAGCAATTAGTGCACTAGTAAATGGGTCTGGATCCTATCAATATCCTTCTGGTAAGGAAATGTCAGTAACCAGATCATCTACCGTCCATTGCATTTAATTCGTAGCCGTCAGATCGGGGAAATTAAATACACGGAGAGACACAATCGTAAAAGCGTCCACCCATTTAATGATAATACTGAATTTTGATCAGATGCGGACCACACAATGACTCCCGCCCGCACGCCTTCCTCTTTTTCTCCAACCTGTACCCGTCCCCATGCTTTCCCTCTCTCTTACATCTGCAAATAAAAAAAAGGCAAAATACATCCATATAGTCAAAACTTTTGTGTTTGTGACAATAATAGCCAGTTTTGGAGAAATACCACTTATAGTCACTTCCCTCCAATAGTTTAACGGTGTCATCTAACAAGCTGAGTGGACAAACGGAAATGTTGACTAGGCGATATGACATTATCAAAACTGTCACATAGATTAATAAAAAAATGAAAATAAATTTAATAAATACAATACCCTTTCCTTTCATTCCATTCCCACCGCAACCTCTTTACTTCGTTTTCGCCGCCCGACCCCTTCCTTTCGTAAAACCTACAAACCCTTCTCAATCAAACCTCTTCTCCACTGCCGCCTCTTCTTCCATTCAATAAAAACTGTTAAATGGGTCTTTTGAGTAACCTGGGCCAGATCGGACTACCCCATGACGGACTGAACACCGACAAAGACATCTCCCTTCCTTCTTACGGAGAAGAAAATAGCTAGTTCCCCAGCAGAAACTCCCGATTCTAGGTTCCAATTAACTTATTGAAGACCCAGCTGAAGTCATCGGAGCAGAGATGAAGTAGAAGTCGGCGATGCAGCAGCTCCAAGCATCCCCGACTTCAGGTTTAGGGTTCGTGGTCAAGCTAACCTAGCATAGTGATTAATAAAACTAAAATAACTAACCTGGACTAACCACTAACCTAGCTATTTACAAAGTTCACGGTCTTAGAGACTATGAACTGCCTGGTCGTCAGTAACCTCTAGAACCTCGATGGATGCCTCGCTGTTCACGGTTTGTGGTTCCAGTTTATGGTCTTAGACATCGTGAACTCCAATGCGAGGTTGTGAACTGCAGCTGCTTCCTAGACGCCTGTGCTTCAGTGTTACGAGGCAATTGTCACGGACTTTGGACTTTTCTTCGGTTTTTGCTCTTTTTGGCCTCCAATCGTCCTGAACTCGTCCTTGACCCTTCCACACGTGCTAGGACCTAAAATGTATCAAAACAAGCACAACCTAGCGTGAAATATGTCGAGGAACGATGAAATGCAAAGTCAAACCATCAAGAAATGAGGGGCAAAATGTGTACAATTGGACCCGAATCACTCCCCCACACTTGAACATTTGCTTGTCCCAAGCAAACCAAGTACAAGACAAGGTAAGCTTGCAACCTCTCTTTTTCAACAAAAAATTTTTAGGCATGCCGTAGGGCACGAAGCGAATGAATCACAATGGTTATTTGACACCGTCCTATGGACAAAAACAAAGTAATCATGGCAACCACCACAAACGACATTCAACTGTATTAAGATTGCGCAAAAGAAGAGTTCTCACATTATTCACGAACCCACAAACAACATGGCTTGACGACTCACCCATCACAGTTACTCATGCATGAATATCATCATAGGAACGAACGAAAGATCGAGCAACCTAAGTCCTCACCGGGGAAGAAGAAATGAACAAAACATGATGAATGAATCACTCACTCTCGACCAGTGGGGTCAGGACCATTTGATGCAAAAGATGTGCATATTCATGCTCAATCCTAACGTCCATTTACCATGATGGTAGCCTCTAAATGCTAGAGCTCACAAGATGGATGTCGTTGCTAGCTTGTTCGGAGGTCTTAGACACAGGTTCAAATAACTGGCTAGAGTCTAGGACATGGGGAAAAGGATTTTTGGGTGGTGACACGTATTTCATGAGGTTCCACAACTTAAACCTAGAACCAAAGTACAAGGTTCTTAGCTTCAATCTAAAACCTTCCTCAACAAACAATGACCACTAACAATGGCCAAAAACCACACTTCCCACACATCCAAAACACAACCAATCACCAACGCATTCACAAGTATCTTTCTTTCGACATTTGCTATTCAATTTCAAGCACAAGAGTGTGGTAGGAGAACAATATGTAAGTGTTCATAAAGCTTGCATGCTAAGCAACACTTCTAAGAGAATGTTCAACATTTATTATATTTTTGGTGTCCACTCTCTTTTCTTCTTTGCCCTTTTATGATCTTTTTTTTTCTTTTTGCTTTTCTTTTCTTTTTTCTTTGGGGGCTACAGAGAGCTATATACACATGTCACATTTCCTTAACTTAAGGAACAATGCTCACTTTTAAGACCTACCTCCACACTCACTTCACATTCTTAGCAAAACAATACACAAATCACTCGTGTGGAACCTCATCTAAGCTCAAACGGTGTGAATGGAGCTTCCAAACGCAAGGGTGACTGGAAACAATGTAGACACGAAGAAAGTACGGTCGTTCTATCTAAATCAATCAAGCTCAAGTAGCGTGAGCTACCTAACACGAGAACGACCCTTAGACACACGGCTCAAAAGGGTTGACTAAGGGATGATATGATCGGGTCGGTCAACATTTGGGTCATGGACTAAACCTATGTCTCCATCTTCCTCGCTAACAACAACGTGAATGCTACACATCATGTAAAGGGGGATCTATTGCACAAGAAATAAACGAACGGCACAAGTCTCACATGGCTACCTAGGTGCTCAATCATTTGTTCTAATTCCCTAAATCCAATGCATAGACAACTGTGAAAAGCAAGTAATCGATTCAAAACATCTATCAGTTTACAAACACATGAGAAATGAACCTATGCACAAACCTAATACATGTTTCAATCATAATCATAGGTTGCACATAATAACAAGCAAATCATCCATAAACAATGCTAATAACCACGAGATTCAATACAAAACAACACAAGTGCCACTATGATCATGCAAATGTAGAAATTTCTATGCTTGGAACCCTTAAATTTTAAAAATTTGGGCATACAACTAGGCTCCAAGCATTCAAAATCACACCAAACATTCACACACACATGCATAATGGACTACCGCCCACACTTAGCTCCACATTGCCCTCAATGGCGTAAAAGAATGAGGTAGAACGATGTTATCGGATAGTGGTAAATGTTGGTGTTTGGGAGCGAAGGGCGGGTGAGATCTGAAAGGGCAAGGAGATGGCAAAACACCACCAAAATCTCTTCAATGGTCTTCTTATTGTAGCGGAAAGAAAACAAACCGATGGTAGATGGGTTGCCTCCCGCCTCGCTGTTCACGGTTTGTGGTTCTAGTTCACGGGGATAGAGGTCGTGAACTGCAGTTGCTTCCTGGACGCCTGCGCTTCACTGTTACGGGGCAATTGTCACGGACTTTGGACTTTTTCTTCAGTTTTTGCGCTTTTTGGCCTCCAATCGTCGCGAACTCATCCTTGACCCTTCCACACGTGTTAGGACCTGAAATGTATCAAAACAAGGCCAACCTAGCGTGAAATATGTCGAGGAATGATGAAATGCAAAGTCAAACCATCAAGAAATGAGGGGCAAAATGTGTACAATTGGACCCGAATCACCCGTGTATTTTATTGGGCAGATCTGTATCTGAAGTAGCGCTGCCGAACAATGATGATGCCAAGCAGCAAAGGACGGGAAGGAGACGCCGACGATATTGAATCTGTATCTGATGGTAGCGATGGCACGACGACGATTCCAAGCGGCGACCGAAAGAGTGTGGGAGCTTTTGCCTTGTCGGAGAGAGATACAAACACCACCTCAGCGGGGTGGATGGAGGATCCATGGGGGGCAACTAAATTCTTGCGGAAACCTCAATGGCGACAGTTTATATTCTAGATCTTCTTGTCGCCGCTCGATTCCGTGGAGCTGGTGGACGTAGAAGGATTCAAAATGGTGGTGGTGGCGGCGATAAAGGAAAAATTGGAGAAGGGTGGGATATTTTTGGGGGAAGAGGGGAATTCCATGAGATATGGAATTTTTTGCGGGAATTTTTTTCTTATTTTTTTTATCACTTATCACCTCCAACGAGGAGAGAGAAGGGAAAAGGGAGGTGGGGAAGGACAAAAAATAAAATTTTTTAATTAATTTATGACATGTAATTATTAGGGTTAATATATTTGTATGGTCTGAACTTTGACCGAAATAAACATCCTGGCCAATCTTTTCGATCTATAACATCCTGGCCTAAACTATATATCAAAATAACTAAATTGGCCAAACCCGACGTTTGACCGTTATGGTCAACGCATTGACTAATGGTCAACGCGCAATGTCACTGCCAACTCAGCAAATTTTCAAATTTTTTTATTTCCGCCTCGGTTCCTAGAGATAAATTTGATATTTATGTGAGCAATACGAGTCCGTACAATTCTGGGTCTTAGCGACGAATTTTCAAGCTTTTAGCAACGGGTTCTCTTCGTCGCTGAAAGTCTGCCCTATAGAAGCTATGGTAGACTTCTAGGGACGGACTGCTATTTCTTTTAGTCACGGATTTGATTGTCGCTAAATGAGCTGCAACTTTTACATACATGCAAAGTAGTCCCAAATTGAGAAAGTCGTCGCTAAGTACGCGAAACCCAACCGATCTAATCTCAGTGTTCGCCATAGGTTGACAAGGCAAATCATCTTCTCTATAGCACCGATACTTTGAGTTGGTGGCTAGATCAAGTTTAACTGCCAGACCAAATAAGGTGCGTGGTTTGAGGGGGCTAGTTAGTATTCCATTCTGAATTGTTTATGAAGCATGCTACTTGAGTTATATGATATGCTCTTATATGCTATTTATTATTGGGTTATGTGTTTATGTGATACATGTTGAAGTTTGTGAAATCATGCTCCAGTTTATGAATTATGTTCATTATGCATAATATCATGCTTATGGCCAAACCAAAGTTATTAAGTTGGATTTTCCCATGTGTGGGAGATCCCCAAGCTTTTCAAGTATGTAAGCAAGTATGACTTAATTACATTTCTCCTTGGGTGAGAGATTAATTCAGACAAGCATGTTTAAGGTATCTTGTTAAGCAAGTAAGGACAATTAACCCTCGCTTAGCTAGCCACTTTTCACGATGGATTACTACTCGATGACGATACGTAACACAGTAGTTGATCATACATGGAACATGACGCCGATACGTAACACAGTTGCCATTGCTCATGTTTATGTATGCAACCGGACGACAATACGTAACGTGATTGGCACACCTCAGTTTTGACACCGGATGACGATATGTAACACAGTGGTCATAACTCATGCTAAGTAAGCAAGCAAGTAGTGGCGCCAGCTAAGTCGAGGTAGGGGCCCCGTCATAAGATAAAAGATGCAATATATCTAGTTAGTGAAGAAGAATTATAAGTTCAAGACGAGTAAGAAGATTTCAATTAATTTTATTGTTTATAGATGTTTATCTTTAATTTTGAACAATTTGTATTGATCATTTGTGGTTTTCTTGTATGCTCTAGATTGGTGTTTTCTTATGATTAATTTATATGAGAAAATTGATGTTAAACTTTTATTTTGAAAGAAACTTGTTATTGTAAATTTTTTACCACAAAAACCCACGGGTACCCAGCGGGTTGGGTTTGGGTTTTTCAAACTCAACGGGTTTTACCTCGGATTTTTTTGGTGGATAAACCCAGGGACTAGATAGTGTGACAACACCCTTTGTGTTGTTATTGTAACAACACTAGCCCCCAACCAATAGGAAGCTAGGATTGTGATGACTTCTTACTAGATGAGTTGACCTAGTGTAAAATCAAAGCAGGGGTAAAATTGTCATTATGAAAAATATATTTAAATAATAATAAAAAATAAAAAAATAATAAAAATATTTTTTTATTTTTTGCCCAAATTTTTGGTCGCCGGAATTCGGCCACCGGTCGCCGGAAACTGGTCGACGATCACCGGAATATGCTTTTTGTCGCCGGAATATGCTATTTTGTCATCGGAATATGCTCACCGTCGCCGGAATATGCTCACCGTGGTCGGAATATGCTTACCGACGTCGCAATCTGGTCATCGGGGCCAGAATATGCCTATCGGCGCCGGAATCTACTCACTAACGGTCACCGGAGTTTGGTCAACGGTCTTCGTTGACCGGTCAACGACCACCGGATGTTATGATCTGCATTGTGAGATTTATGGTTTGATTTCTCATATTTTTGTATGTCTTTTGTGGTTTGCGTTATCTTGTTTGTGGTTTGCATTAAGAAGTTTCTGGTTTGCTTTATCGTGTTTGTGGTTTGTATTGAGAAGTTTCTGGTTTGCTTTCAAAAATTTTGTGGTTTGCATTGAGGGGTTTCTTGTTTGTTTTAATATATTTGTGGTCTGCATTAGGACGTTTATGGTTTGCTTTTTTGTGGTTTGATTTACTGTGTTTGTGGTTTGCATTATGAGGTTCCTGGTGTGCTTTCGCAAATGTTGTGGTTTGCTTTGTGGGGTTTCTGGTTTGTTTTAGGGGATTTGTGGTATGCATTAGGAGGTTTCTGGTTTGCATTAAGAAGTTTCTGGTTTGTTTTATCGCATTTTGTGGTTTGCATTAGGAGGTTTCTGGTTTGTTTTAATATATTTGTGGTCTGCATTAAGACGTTTTTTGTTTGCTTTACCGTGTTTGTGGTTTGCATTAGGTGGTTTCTGGTTTGTTTTTTTGTGGTTTACTTTACGGCGTTTGTGGTTTGCATTAGGAGGTTTGTGGTGTGATTTCACTAAATTTTTGGTTTGCTTTGTGACATTTGTGGTTTGTTTTAGGGGATTTGTGGTATGCATAAGAAGGTTTTTGGTACTTTTTTTTAGTTTGGTTTACCGTATTTGTGGACTGCATTAGAAGGTTTCTGATGTAATTATGAGATACTTGTGTTGTACATACCAATAAATTCCAAATACATAGTATAAACACAATAACCCATAAAAAAATCGAAAAGCACGATCCTCGCGAACGTTGTTATCAACTTCGATAATCTTGGATCCAACCAAGAATTTGGCTAGAAGAAGCATCATTGTGACGATGCTTCAAGCACAATAGTGATTTCACCGTAATAGAGCTGTGATATGCTTCAATACATGATTATTATTGGCTGGTGAAGGGTTATAAAGTAGGAGATTAACATGCCATCTGATTCATGACCTTCCACTTCCAGGTGGAGTGAAGCAATGGACAGTGGCTCCCCTATCAATGACAACAGTCTGGCCGGTAATATAAGAGGCCGCCGGAAGGCAGAGGAATGCAACCAACCCTGCCGCCGCCTCCGACTCTCCAGTTCGTCCCATAGGAGTTCGAGCTCTCACTGCCTTTGAGAACTCCTCGCTCTCAAAGTACTGCAAAACACAACATAAAACCAAACGCTACATTACAACATTTCAATAGCTGCTGCAAAGCCAACTTCATAAATCTCCCCATTCATTTATCAATCTGTTGCACGAGAAAGAGATCTGAGTACACTACTTACGCTCTCATTGATGGAAGTCTAGATGAACCAAGGTGCAACGCAGTTGATCCTTATGTTGTCCTTTGCCCACTCGCATGCTAGATCTTTGGTTAGTTGAACCATTGCAGCTGCAAAACAAAAGGTTAGATGATGAAGTATAGAAGGATTTGCGTAGATTCCTTTAACTCAAAACATAGTGATTAAAGTATGTACATTTGGTCATCCCATATATGCTGCCAACATTTAGAGATGTGACACCCGTAGCAGATCCCATGAACACGATCGTTCCTGCCCCGGAATTCGCCAAAAGAGGATGTGCAAGTCGGCTCAGGCTGAATGCCGACTCCATGTTTGTACGCATCAGAAGGGAGTAATCTTCGTCTGTGAATTCCAGAGTGGGTTTAACTACATTTGCCCCAGCGTTGTTGTCTACAACCCACAACAAGTTTCAGCACCAGATCAATATTGAACTGCTGGAAAGTGAGATCCAACCATCCTTGTAGAAGGCCGGCCTGGGAAGTACTCAACTCACCAGGATGTTAAGCTTTCCGTTGAATTGAGAGGATACGGCCTGCGTTAGCTTCTCTCTTTCAGATGCAGAGGTCAAATCACAGGCCGAACCGGTTACCTGCAGACCCAGCTCTTTCCAACCCTTCAAACAATTATCAAGCTCTGCCTTATTTCTGGAGCATGTGTAGACAGTGGCCCCTAGGGCTGCCAGTTCCTCCACGATAGCATATCTGATAATTAAACAGTCGTGAATGCAGCCATTGGGAAGAAGAAGAAGAAGAAAGGCATAACATCAATTAAGCCCAAATGGGAAGTTGGATCTGTACCGTACCTCTCAAAACCATCTGCACTTAAAAACAGAGAGTTTTCAAACCATGGTATTCCACAAAACACTATCACCAAAACCGCCGCTGTCGTCCAGATTTCCTCCCTCTCCCATCGGATTCCTCCACCGCCCGGCGAATCTCGTCCTCCATCTCCTGAAAGTTGCTACTCATCACTTTGTTCAATCCACTCTCCGCCGCTTCATTTACCACCAACGGACCTCCCCAAACTTTTCCAGGTTCACTCCTCTTTCCCTCTCCCCTGCTCTGGGGTACGATTCTCAATTTACGAATCCCCTCAGCGCACTGAATCTTCTTCCTGTTGATGTGGTCTCCACCGCCGCCGGATTTACCCTTCTTAGGACGCGGCTCGTTAATTGACCCGCTCCAAGAAATCACTATGTGGGTTGTGAAGAAGAAGCGGAGGAGAAGCTGATGGTGGCGGAAGAGAAGCTGATGGCGGCGGAGGAGATCGAGGTCTGGTAGGGGAAGAGATCTCCTATTGCAACTCCTCGGAAGAGCGTCGCCTGTGCCGGCGCCGGAGGGAAGAAAACGATCGGCTGCAGAATATGATTGGGA